AATGTTTCGTCTTCGGCTAAATAGACACACCTCTGTTTTGTGTTCAGAAAGTGTAAAATAATTTTTATTCAGCCACTCGTTGAAGATGTCATAAGTTTTATTTAATTCATATTCACAAGTTTCAAAGTTTTTTCTTGTACAATAAAAAACAATATCATCTACAAATTGTATTGTTCTTATATTATGAAGTTTAACACTGACATCCATTGTATATAATAAAAACAAAACTGGACTTAAAATACTGCCTTGGGGGAGTCCTAGGTTCGTAGTTCTAGGTCTAGTGGTTACTTGATTTATTTTTATATGGATTTTCCTGTTTGTGTACAACGAAGTTATAAAGTTCGCTAATTGCGTATTAAATCCAATCGAAATCAATGTATTGGTTAAAACATCTAGGTTAAAACCTGCCATAGTCATGAGGTTACTAGTAAATCCAGCTAGAATATCTGTTACAATTACTGTTAATGCTTCCAATGTTGACCTAGATTTTCTGAAGCCATATTGTATATCAGGTAGAATATGTTCTTTCTCTAGCCATTGCTCAAGACGATTTTTGATAAGTCTCTCGAAGGTTTTCAACACACATGAAGCTAATGATATGGGCCTATAAGAGGTTGGAATGCAATCCGGTTGGTCGTGTTTTTTTGTGGGGATGATAATATACTCCTTCCAACTTTCAGGGATCGATGTTTGTCCTGTCCATATTGCATTGAATATACTTAAGAGAGATTTTTTCTGATTTATTGGTAAGTTATAAAGCATGGAATATGAAATATTATCTATACCAGGGGAGCTGTTGTTGGTATGTTTGATAGATCGTTCCAGTTCCCACATCAAAAATCTTTCGCTAAGATAGGTCGTATTCCTTGGTACTGAAGCAATTTGGAGATCACATTCATCCCGGTTGGTTGGTACCCATGGCGGTGAAATTTTAATATGAAATTCTTCTATCCAGTTTGAATTTGGGTCTATTGGTAATCTGTTTTGGACTTTTCGATTTTTATAATTGTTTACCTTTTTCCAAATTTGTGAAATTGGGGTATGGCTGTTTAAGCTTGTACAGTATTCAACCCATTTTTGCCTTTTTGTAAATTTGAATGTGCGTTTAGCGCAAGCATCCATTTTTTTGTATTCAATTAAATTTTCTCTATTTGGAGTTCTCTTATACTTGGCAAAAGCTAATTTTCTTTGATGAGCAGCATTTTTACATGTTTCATTCCACCAAGGCTTCGGACAGTGATTGCGGTGCTTAGTCCGACCTGAAAATTTTCTTGGGATGGCAATTTCTGCAGCTTCATTAATCATAGAAATGAGTTCATCGTAATTTTGAGCTATATCTCTGTGTTCAAGATTAGTTACATATAGATTCCAATTTGCATTTTTTAACTGCCATATACTGTGCTTCGATGGTTCAGCTACGTCATGATCATCTTTAACATTCAGTGTTATCAATATGGGTAGGTGATTTGATCCATGTGGGTCCTCTATAGTTGTCCATGTAAAAAATTGTACAATATCTTGAGAGCAAAGAGTTAAGTCAATTGCGCTTTTACTACTTAAGGGAACTAATGTTGGATATCCGCTGTTTAGAAAAATAAGATTACAATGGTTTATTGCATCAGATAAAATATTTCCATATGTGTCATTAAAATCGCAACCCCAAGAAACATGATGGACATTAAAATCACCTGCTATTAGAAAAGGTTTTGGTACATTAGCAAAAAATTCATTCCACTCTTGCAGTGCTATTTTCTTTCTTGGTTCAATATATAACGAAACTATATAAATGGTTTTTTTATTAGGTAATAGATTAACAGCAATACATTTATGAGAAAAATTTACTTTAGTATTTATTATTATTTCTTTATAGTAAATGTTTGCTTTAATTAATATGGCCACCCCTCCATAACCGTCTGGACGGTCTTTACGACTAATATTGTAAACATTTAAAATTATAATACTTTCCCTCTTTGAACCAAGTTTCAGATAACATCGCAAGAGCTGCATCATTCTCATGAAGAAGGAATTCCAAGTTTTCTTTATTTGAAACTGCTGATCGGCAGTTCCATTGAATGAAATTTATTTTTTGTGTTAAATCTGCGAATTTGATATATTTTCTGATAGATCTATATTTAATTGTTTACTAATTATACATTCTAGTTCTGTTTATGTGATAATGTTTGCCACTAATTCTGAAATTATTTTAAGATTCTCTGAAGTTAACTCTGAATTATGAGTTGAAAACTCTGAACTGTTTACATTTTTAACATAACTAGGGTTGGTTAGAATACTATAATTTGGACCTATAGTCCTAGGTTGAGAAATGATTTCTCGATGTGTTATTTCAATTGGGTCTGGACTATTTGGCCTCAGCCTTTTAACTGGCTTATGAAACTCAACTGTTGATTTTTGTTAAAGACTTTATTGTGAGTTTGTGAATGGTGTGAAGATGACTCTCCGAAGAAATTGAAGTTTGGAGGAGGTTGAGTCGAGCATGAGGGTCGAAGCTCCATACGGGTTGGTTGTGGAATGGAAATCTTTTGAAAGGCAATGCTTTCGTTTGGGTTATTTTTAGTAGTAGTTGAACGATTGGCAGTAATAGAAGCGTAAGAGTTTTTGGGAATTAATTTGTTAGCATCATAATAATTTACATTGGCTGATGACATAGTTTCTTTGATTAATTTTTGTCGGTGAAATTCCGGGCAATCTTTCAAATCAACAGTAAAATGCTCTCCCATGCAACTAAAACATTTTTTTGTTTTTTCTACTTCCGTACACTCTTTCGAGTTGTGATCTTTGTTACATTTATAGCATCTGGGTCGAGATCTACATTGATTTCCTAGATGCCCGTAACGCAAACAATTAAAACAAAGTAGAACTTTTTGTTTGTATAACTCTACCTCTTTTATGACTTTATTAATAACAACATATTTAGGTAATGTTTGTGATTTAAAACTAACAATGCATGATTTTGTTGGAACAAATTCTGGCGATTCCCGTATTGTATTCTTACGATTAATTCTTTTAACATTTAAAACTTCGAACGGTAAATGTGGTTCGTAAGATTTAATTTTATTTTTAAGGTAATCTTCAGAAAATTCCGTCGAAATATCTCGTATTACGCCTTGTTTGACAACAATAAATTTGGGAACATAAATATCCAAATTATTATCAGTAAATACTTTAGCGTTTTTGTTACTGATAAGGTAAATTCTCTATTGCGACCTATTGCATCGATACTTAAAATATTATTGTCCAATTCAGGAAAATTTGTTAAAATTATATCCCCGACCTTTAAAGGATGTAGACTACCCGAAAAATTTATTTGTTTGTTTTCCACATAAATATGGAAAGGGCCCTGATCGTTTGGGCCATAATTAAAAACCTGTTTCTGCCTTTCGGTTTGAGATTGAGATGAATTTCCGTCTTTCAAAGTATTAGACTGCTCGGTAATTAAATTTGGTTTACTTACATTTTGATTTTCGTGAGAATTAGATATACCTGAATCCGTGACTTGCATATTCATGTCTTGCTGATCTGGGGAATCTAACAAAAGATCGTCGGGAGGTTCGGGGGGTAGCCCCCCGTCCTGCACACTCATTAATATTTTTTACACTATCACTATCACTATGTTAATTACGAATTAATCTAATGAGTTTTTACATCGTTTTGTCAAAATTTTACACACTCGAAATAACCGGCCGAAGTAAATACGTCTGGCTCGCTCGATTAACAATACAGAACTGTTGTCTGGGTTTTTTGAGTTAATAGATTAGTTGTATTTTCAATTGGGTCTATATTTGGAACTGGATTATTTGATGTTGAAATATCTGTTGTAATCGCAGTAGACATTGGGCAATTTTTTGTTAGGTGGTTGGTTTGTTTACATGTTTGGCAAGCTTGGTTATCTAATAAAAAGGAAAATCCTGTATGTCGTTTCCTCGTGTGTGATAAGAAAAGAATCGGGTAAGGGCTGGTTATTTAGTGAAGAATATATTCTTAGGAATGTTAATGGGGACAGAAGAGTTAATCCATGTAATTTTAATACAGATATTAGAACTGAGTGTGGGATTGAGGGACAGACATTGGACAGTACTAATCGCTTACTGGGGCTAATTAGTCTTCGAGCTTGTAAGAGCTGCTGGCCTATTTGAATTTTTTCATTTCTGTTTATAAAATCCTCAGCTAGTTTTTTGTTTGCTACATAAATACATACTCTATTATTTGATAATTTTAAACAGAAGATGATCTGGGTTGGTTGTATCAGATGACTCAAAGCGGACAAGTAATCATCTAGTTTGGTATTTTCAAATGAATCAAAAATAATTGCTTGTTTTCTTGATGGAAATATATTGGATTGTGGTGTTTGATTGGTTACGAAAGAATATGTAGGTGATCCATTAAAATAATATGATGAGGAGCTGTTTGGTGTAGTATTAGTTGCAGGAATTTCAGATTTAATAGAACTATCCATTTTTAATTATCATTGGTAAATGGAGTATGGTCCTGGCAAACAACCTTCTTAGTCTGTAGTGGAGCAGGTTTGGTATAAATACCTGTCCTAGATTTTGTAGGTTATCCGAAATAATATTTGACAATATGGAATAAAAACTGTTATAATTGTATTTATTTTTGTTATTTCACTGCTAGATCACTAATTAACGAAAATATTTTTAGTATTTCACTAGTTTTTAAATTAATTTTAAGAGCTCGATTTTAAAACACGTATTAGCCTCTTATTACAAATTATGCGTATCTCTCTATACTTTGTATATCAAGGTATTTTTATATATTATCTTTAAGAGGAATTAACCAAAATGTCCGAACAATATTTTTAATTTTTTATCCTTTATTTTTTTAAAATACGTTTGTTTTGACGTTTCGATTTCTACTTCGTGAATCGTTTTTAAATAATTATTTTTTATACATTGAAATATAATTGTGTTAAATTTTAATTGTATTTTTAAATACATTTTCAACAAGTATACTTTAACTTATAGAAGAAGAACCTACACAGCAGACGGCTTTCGATCGGCTGGATACGAAAATGATGATACTTTAGACACAGATATTGACGCAGAAGGAGAATCGGCAATTCAACAGGCTTGGAGTGAACTGGCAGATATTGAAAGAGAACAGGAACGATGGTCCGAGTTAAGAGTTCACATCGAACAGAAACTGGAAGTTTGTAGACAACGAGGTGTTACTTTGGAAGACGTAAGCTTTTATTTTCTAAACAAATCTGTATTTGTTTAAAGTACATAATTATTTATTTTAGCAACTTCCTACACTACTATCATCTGATGATGAAAGGGAAATTCTAGCTCTGATGTGCAGAGTACATGAATTAGAAGCTGATAAGATGGCTCTTCAATCAGAGAGATTGGTAAGACAACATGAACTAAGAAGGAGAGATCTTTTAATTTTGCGATATGACCGGCAACGACAGATTTGTGAAGAGATAATCACAAGACAGCGGCAGATAATGGAAGGTACAATTTAAATTTTCGATATATTACTTTAATTTATTTCGTTGGTAGTTTTGTTCATTTTCTTAAAAAGTTTGTATTGGTTTATATCACTATATATTTTCTTTTGGTTAATATTTTTTTAAAATTGTTCTAGATTATTGCTGGTGTGTATGTTGAATTCATGTTTTATAGCTAAAATGAACTGTATAATCTATCAACAACTACATACAAATCGCTTTGTTTTATTAAAAAAATGATTATTAAAGCAAATTCAATATACAACATAAAAATGATTAATTTATCAAATTGACAGTAACAATAAAACACTAAAAACTTTGTTTTCATAACTTTCACAAAATTTATTTTAAAATCTTATCACTACAGCTATTTTGGCTGATTGCCTTTCTCAAGTGATCTATTTTTGGCGTGCGTTTACACTTTATAGACTTTAATGAAATATGTTGAAGAGGGGAGAACTGTTTGTCTCAAGTTGGTCATTCAGAATTAAATCTGTGTTTTTAATTTGTTAATTTTCATAGATTCTAACAAACATAGCTTAAGGCCTTTATTTTTAATGTGAAGAATTTTAAATTCGTCATTAAAAGAATGATTATGATCTAGAAGGTGAAGTTCGTATGTAGAATCTGTTTTTCTATTATTGAAAGCTCTTTAATGTTCTGCTATTCGTTTATTAAAATTTGTTTGACCGATATAAGTTTTTGGGCAGTCGCCACATTTAAATTTATGTACACCACTGCGTAAGTGCTTTTTATTTTGGCTCTTGTTGTTTTTAATATATTTGCTTAACTTATTATTTGTTTTGAAAGCTGGCAAACTATGAACAAAAATAGCCAAACATATAAAAAAGAAAGGAATAACACCATGAAGGATAAGGTATAATTTTATGTTTTTTATTATATTTTAAATAGCTATTTTCTAATCGTCCCCAATTCATATTAAGCCATCTAAACCTTTTATAGAGGAAAAAATTATATAAAAATATATATATATATATATATATATATATATATATATATATATATATATATATATATATATATATATATATATATATAAATTTAGATTTTTAGTAACTGGAGCATGATTTTTATGGAATGTAACCCAGAAGCGAAATTTTCTGATAGCGCTGTGTGTAGCAATTGGGTATTAGCAATATTTAAGTTGATAAGTCTTTTTTATGTTGATTACTTTTACTCCAACTTAGATAATGAGGATGATCGTAAAAAAAGTTCACTGTATTGAATATTATTTAATAATACTATTTAAGTCAACCTGCTTTCGGGAATTTCTCTAATGTGATTGTTTAATCGTGGTCAATGGTCTTCATTTTATGCTGACCAAAATGGGCCATTTCACTATAGAAAATTGTCAATAGCATTTATTAACTTGACACCGCGCGGGATAATAGATCTGCAGAATTGTCCTTTGTTGGAATATATCCCCAATGATTTAATTAATTGTATTGCTAAATAACCGATATAAGATTGGCAACAAATATTTTTAAAGGATTAACTGGTAAAGAAATCCATGCTAAAATAATTGTACTATGAGTACAAAAACAAGATTAATCAATATGCCTTGTTAGCGAACTTGACACCTTGATATATAGTTTTCAAGAGGGCATCACAAAGCTTTAGCGTTGGTAATGTTATCGTTTTTTTATAAATTTTATAAATTTCTATTATATTATAAATTTTAAAATCGTTTTATAATTTGAGAATTTGTTGATACATTTTGTCGATGTCGGAAGTCATTACGTATCAATGTTTACAAAATCGTAATAAAATAGAAACTAATCATCATACATATTTATCCGACACGTGTTACATCGTTCAAAGATCAAACAGTCCTAAGTACTACCCTAAGTTTGATGGTGTCTTTCTATTCCTTGAATACCCTATCATGAGGAAGGAAAAAAACGTTAGTGTGATCGGTTGTATTATCATCTACATATTCTTGACATGTGTCCCAAAGCTTAATATTCCTACATAAACTGTTAGTTAAGGCTTTTAAAGTTATGAATTTTCTCAAATACTATGGATTCTATAGCATGCATATCTTTCAAAGTATTCCCATATGAATTTCTAATTGGATATATCGAGTTACGATAAATCTACCGCAGTCTGCTCGTTGAACCGTGTTACTTTCCAGTCATTCCCATCGTCGCATTCGCCCCCGACGTCCTGGACGCACGGACCACGTCAGTGGTCCCCGTTTTGGTTATCTAGAATCCGGTGTACCGATGTTCCATTCCGGTGTGGTCTGGCAAAATCTTCCAGCCTCTTGCTTTCGCCGCTATTCCTTGTGTCACCATGGTCACGTCGATGTACATACCCGTACTTCTCCTGCAAACAAACGTAGGCTCAAGACCTGTGTTCAGTACACTAGGTCTAGAGTACCCACCCAGTCAGTCAGTATCCTGCCGCGAGTGTCGATAATGGGAGATCCCCACTCCGCTACTTTTGCGTTAAAATCTCCCAACCTACGAATTATTCTCCTGTGTTTCCTACTTCCTGCATGATCCCGTCCATCTTCATCTCGTACTCGCCCACCATTCATGTTTGGAGAAATATAACAGCAGACCAGTCCCACCCCCTTAATCCAAACACATATATACTCGCAGCTTTCTATTATAGATTTGTACAGCAGCCCTCTTGGTCGTATCTACAAAACCCACCCTCTTCTTCCTACTGCTGTTGGATTTGACTCCGCCGTCAATCGATGTTCTTTTCTACTGCGACAGCCTCGGCGAAATCATGTGATAATCTTGCTGTTCCTACGTTAGTAAGCACCCGCAGATCTGAGCTGAAAACATATAGCCTAGAATTTCGATTTTGAGTTTTGGCTATAAATATGAGGCATGTGTAATGTATTCCTAAAAACGCTAAATTTAAACTTTCGCGTTACAAACAATCTAAAACGTTTAAAACTGCTTCTTTTTAATTACACAAGTACTTTTTTTCGAAACGACCCGATCCAACTTCAGCTCCAAATTCAACCAAATACTGTTGTTGTGGAAGCATTTCCCGTGACGTGCAACTTTTTTGATTTTAATGTTTAAATTCAGCGCATTTTTCAAATGCCTCACATTTGTTACCAAAACTCAAAACCTAAATTTCAGGCTATATGTTTTGAAGAATAAAAAAATCCACATGGAAAATAATTCCTGCAGCTGGCTGTATACCACGTATCACAAAAAAGAGGTTAGATCTTTGTAAGTTTTTAATATACCCATTTAAAAAGATCTAACCTCTGTTTTTTTGAAGATTAGGCTGTAATAATGAAAATTCTATAGTGATTGGTTATTGGAAGTGATAAATTTTATGAGCAACAAGAAAACTGCATGTTCCCCTTCAAAACACATTTTGATTTTTGTCGATAGGACAATCTTATCAAAAAATATCGAATTTTTACCGTTGAGTCCATACAAATTTTAAAATTGATTTCGCGCTCGTACCTGACGTAGTAAATCATCGCTCGCTACAAGCCTTGTTTCATTCTACACAAAAGTGCTAATCCATATGTTTGTTCAAAATTATCCCAGTTACAGTTTTTAGTTGAAATATTTTTTCTACAGCGTACAGATTCTTGGTAAATCGATTTTTTAAATTTTCCTCACCTACGCGTAGAAGTTTTGGCCGAAAGTCTTGAGGTAAAAATGGTTTACTACTTTTACCCCAAGTATTTTTTATCCCAAAGTTACCCCATTTTTTTAAATTCTCCACTTTTTGGGTCCCAAAATTTACACTTTTTGCAAAATCTAGCTGGTTCGTATTATTTTTACAGGTCAAATCTCTGACGACTGGATTAAAACTGAAAATTTTTGAACGTTAGACATTCTCGTTTAATTTCATATTTGAATAATTTTTGGATGTGATTGGTCCAGTAACACATCCTTCACATCAGTATTACTCGTAATATTTCCTTTATAATTTTTAAAGATATTCTTCCTTTTGCTTTTTATAGAACCTGTTATTTTTTTGACTTTTTTGTGTAAAGCTATCATACTTTTTATCCAGATCTTCTATTTTCTTGTATCTGTCAAAGAGCCACCTCTTTTTTTCCTCTCGAATTTTCTTTCTCAAGTTTTTTCTGAATTTCTTTGTATTTTTTCAGTTCTTTTGCTTTATGTTTTCTTCGTTGTTCAATAAGTTCAAGAATTTCTACTGTCATCCAAGGTCTTTGTTTCCCAAGTGTTTTAAGGGTTTCTTGTCTAACTAACTTAAGGGAATGATGCATTTTTTCAAATTTCTGCATTATCTTCTTTGACTTTGACTTAAGTTCTCGTTTATTTTATTTCGTTTCCGCATATGTGTTGTATTGTTTGAGCTTCCTTCTCTCCATGATTTTCTTGGAAATAGGGTGCTTTACATTCTTTAGTTTCACTCTCATTGACAAAAAAACCGAATTGTGATCGGAGGATATGTCCGCTCCTGAATAAGTTTTTGATGGTATTATAGAATTTCTGTATCTTCTATTGACGATAATATCTATTTAATTTTTGACTATATTGTTGTAAATATCAACTGGTGACCTCCATGTATATAATCTACGTTTAGGAAGTTTAAACAAGGTAGTTGCAACTATAAATTTCTCATTGATACACAAATCAACCCCCCTATCACTACGTTCATTCCCACCCAATTTTCCACTTCTCTTTGGCTCATTTTAGCGTTTGAATCTCCGTGATAATGCACACTTCTAATTGACACAACTTTTAATAATTTTTTCGTCTGAATACATTGGTACAGTGACGACTTTACAGTGAGTTACATAGTTCCTTAATGAAATTGCCTTTGATGAACATAATAGTATTAAACTATATGGTAAAAATAATAATTATAGTATACCATTAATTGATTCCTTTTTCAAATTCAATTAACAGTTTTTCTTTCGCACAATATTATTTATTAATAGTAAGTGATTATTACTCCATTTTAATTTTATTACGTGCAAATTTATTTTTTAGAAAAGAAAATGGTTCTACCACAAGATTTACAAGAGTTATATCAACTTTATCAACAAGAAATTCACGCATCCACTTACAGTGACGTTGGAATACCGCAAACAGCATCTGCATTCACTCCAACGGATATTTTACCACCAATTGGAAAAATGTAAGTAATTTTAAAAACCATAAAATGCTTTATGTAATCCTGATTGACATAGATGACCATTTTCCACTTATGCTTAATTAATTAAAATTAAGGTCTACTTTAGAATTCTACTTCTGCTTATGCGGTCATTTTTACTATAACACGATTATTCTTTAGATCAGGGGTGCTCAAACGGTCGATCGCTAGTGCTTTTTGGGTAGATCTCGAGAAGAAAAAAAATTTTAATAAGTAGGTACCTAGGTAACTAAACTACTGTCAGCAGAGTTAAACGTTTTTATTAATACTGAACTATACAAATACATAGAATGCTTGACTAAGCATCATTGCAATTTAAAGAAGTGGGGACAACAAAATGCTGTCCACACAGCATATTTTATATTTACATATATTAACTAATTATTTTATTAATTCAATATTTATTATAATTATTAATCAAATTTGGAATGATATTCTATCAACTACAAAAATGTATTACGTAATAAAATAACACTGCTTGCGGCAAAAGGTGGCTTTATCAAAGGAACGCGCGGCACTTTTCAAAGAAAAGCCATGTTGTTTCTAGACGAGAGACAGTACAGTCTAGTTTCGGGCGGCGCGTTTGACGGAAACATTCGAGACTTTCGTTCACGCCGATATAAATGTTGCGCCTGCAGGAATTGGAGTTATTCTAAATTGTAACTTGATAGCGATCCTACGTCGATACAAAGTTTATTATTAAATAGTGGAAAATGAGTGCAGTGAAGAAATCTAAAACGTATCATTTTAATAAGGATTGGGAGGAAGAATTTTTCTTTTTTATGGTGAAGGATAAGTGCATATTTGTCGTGCGTCAGTTGCAATACCAAAGCGTGGTAACTTAGAGAAGCATCATAAAACGGTTCATAAAAACTATGAAAAGGATTTTCCGCCACAGAGTGAATTAAGAAAACGAAAAGTAAGTGATTTGATATCTTGTTTGAAAAAAGAACAATCCATGTTCACAAGACCAGCCAAACAATCAAAAGCTGCTACGATCGCGTCATTTAAAATATCTCATATTTTGGCGAAACACAAGAAACCATTTGAAGATGGATCGGTGGTGAAGGAAGTATTTATTCAAGCGGGTGAGACTTTATTTGGAGATTTTAAAAATAAAACAGAAATCATGTCTGCTATTAGAGAACTTCAGTTATCTCGTCCGACTGTCACAAGGCGTATTGAAGTCATGAGTCAAGACATCGCAGATAAACTAAAACATGATATCATGGAATGTACATACTTTTCTTTACAGTTCGACGAATCCATCGATATGATAGACACTGCCCAGCTGTGAAGATAAATTTTGTAAAAAACTACGAGCTACCAATATATAAATTAATGTGCATTACAACCGATGGAGCACCAGCAATGACTGGAAACAAAAACGGTTTTGTGGCATTGTGTCGAGCTAATGAAGAATTCCCTTAATTTTTTTCATTCCATTGCATTATACCTCAACAAGTTTTGTGTTCAAAAGTTTTAAACACGGAGGAAATTATGGGCATTGCAACAAAAATTGTGAATTCCATCCGTGCACGTAGCTTGCAACGGCGGCTCTTTCAGTTGCAGTTGGAAGATAGGGAGTCAGCTGAACACACTGATTTAGTTCTTCACACGGACGTCAGGTGGTTGAGTCGCGGAAAATTCCTAGAAAGGTTTTAAGAATTATTGCCCGAAATAACAGCTTTTCTAGACGAATGAGGTGATGACACTCAGATTTTGAAAAACGAAAAATGGCTAAATGATTTGGCATTTTTGACTGACATCACAATGCACTTAAACACCGTTAACTTGGAGCTTCAAGGTAAAGGAAAAACTATTATTGAGATGATTAGCGCAGTAAACGCATTCAAAAGCAAATTGCAACTTATGATAGATCAACTGAAAAGAAAGGATCTGAAACATTTTCCGTCTTTGAAAGCAAGGATTCCTCAGTTGAATTATGATACGTATGAGGCTGAATGATCAAATATTTTGGGACAATTCGAAATGCGTTTTTATGATTGCAGTAAATTGAAAAATATAGCATCATTTATGAGTTATCATTTTTCATGTAAAAACATTGAGGAATTAGCTACTGAAATAGCAAGTCAGTTTAATATGAACTCATGTTCTGTTGAAAATGAGTTGGTGCAGATTATATCAGATATACATCTCAAAGCTACAGTATCTGATACAAATTTCTGGCGTTTTATATCTGAAGATAAATATGCGAATGTAAGGCAAATCGCCCTTCAACTGACGGCATTTTTTGGGTCAACTTACTTGTGCGAGTCTGCATTTTCTGAAATGAAGATAATTAAGTCAAATATCGCAATCGACTAACTGACGATCATATGACATCATGCTTGCGATTAGCACTCAGTGGTTACGTACCATCTTATGAAAAGTATGCTGAGGACATGTAGTGCCACGCTTCAACATCCAAAACCACTCCTTAGTTAAGTTTAACACCATATGTAACTCTTTTGTTTTGTAACAACAAATAAACTCGCAATTTTGAATAACTATGAGTTTTTTCATTGATATTGTAGAGAAGAACCTAACTAAACCTTACCCAAACCTTGACTAGACTAATGTACCTATATTGTGCAGAAAGCTAATATCTATATATGCTACGGTACGCCCTACCTAGGTAGGTAGAGTGTATCGTGTATGTACGACAACCCTGCATCACACACACTTGCAGTCTCTCAGAGTCGATCGTAAGTAGTCTAAAAATATTGAGGTAGATCGCCAGCAGTTCCAGTTTGAGCACCCCTGCTTTAGATCATACCAAATGGAAAATGTGGTGTTTGATAACATATAGTAAGAAAACTTTCTTTTTGTGAATAGACATACTTATGGGTTAATTATTAGAGCTCTAAGAAGTCTAGCGTTTGAGTTCGCTGAAATAAATTAATTAGAACATCGTTTTGATAAAATTTCAAAAATGGCAGGCAAGGCCTAGCTACGTGGATTTTTGAAACGACACAAAAATCGTAATTTGAGCCAACCCACCGCTACTATCGTCGCCAGAGCTATTGGGTTTAGTGAACCGCATTGTAAGCGGTTTTATGAAAATTTCTCGAAGTTAATAAATACATATAAATTCCCGCCACATGCAATTTACAATATGGATGAATCGGAATTTTTCACTGTCCCAAATAAGCCTCCTAAAATTTTCTTTACAAAAGTAAGAAGGTGTATCAATAAAATATATAGCGCAGAACGGGGAACCAATGTTACCGTTGTATGCACAATAAGTGCTAGTATACAATATATTCCTCCCGGATTTATATATCCACTTAAAAGAATGAAGACAGAACTTTTGGATGGAGCTCCACCATCATCATCATGGAGTTAGAATGGTATCCGACAGTAGTTTTTTCAATCAGTACTTGTTTGTTGATTATACTACACATTTTAGAGATCACGATAAGCCGACAAAAGAATAACCAGTCATATCGATAATGGGTAATCACACGTCCCATTGTTCCATTGCAGTAATTGATTTTTTTCGACAATATAACATTATCGTATTAACACTTTCTCCTCATAGTATTCACCGTGCATCCACTTGACAGATGTTTTTTTAGCCTGCTAAAAAAGTTTTATTTCAACGCATGTGAAAAATGGCTATCGAACCATCCAGGCGGGTAATTACGGTTTACCACATTGGTTCAATATTTGTTCCTGTATACTTTAAAGCTGCTACTATAATGAATGCAATTGAAGGTTTTAAAGTGACGTAGATATGTCTCTGTAATAATGACATATTTACTGATGCTGACTTCATGGCCACTATTGTCACAGAACGAGAAAAGCCTGCTACAGCTGCAGTAACTACGCAGCTAAAAACTCTATGCCTGAAATCGATATTCAACCACATGAAATGTCTGAATCAGTCTCTGAAAATACTCTCAATATTCTTGACAGTCTCATCATTGTTCTTGAGAATTCCACTACTAAGAAAAATATTCATATTAATGAGACAGATGCCATAATCAGAATACTGATTATGAAATACCTACATCTGAACCTGATTGTACGAGAAGGATTTTACAGATCAAAAACATTACCCCTCAGCTTACAGATATAGTTTTCAACAAATCTGCAATAACGTCCGGAAAAAAAGTTGTTTTCACAAAGTTAATAACAACGCCTTATAAGAAAATTTGGAGCTGTTCAGAGTACAACGAAACATTTATAAAACCTATCACAGAAGACTGGATTAAGTGCATATCATGTGCTATATGGTGGCATGAAAAGTGCAGTGCCTTCGCAGGTTTTGAATCTTATTAATGTGACCTATTTTCATAAAATTACGTGCGCAATCTTACAATCCTGAATGCGTACTTTTAAAAAGCGGGTTTGTAAGAGTACGCAAAAGCACTTTCTTTTTAGTTTCACTTTTTCTATTAAAGTAATAATGTTTAGTTCGCAAAACAATGTAAACAATTTAAACATTAAAAAAATGGCGTAAAAATACATTTAAAAACACTCACAGAAATTAAAAGATTCTCTAGTCTCGTCTCAATAAATTTTTCTCGGCACTTTATGAAAATGATTTACTTTAATTAACTCTCTATCGTAAAACTCCTTCCCTGGTTCTGCTCATAAAAACAGTCCTGTCGATCAAAAGAACGTCCTGACTCACGTTTCTATCTCCTTTTGGAATCGCCCCTATCTGCTTAACTACGAATCTCTCCGAGAATAATAATTTGTTTGTACTTACAAATTCTGCACCCTTTTCATCCGGTAAATCAGCTTTCAAAACTTACTGACACTACTATTTTAACAAAATCTATACTTTTCTTTCAACGTTTAAAATAAGAACACACACTTGTCGATTTGAGCTTTCCTTCCTTCCCGCCCAACTGCAGATGATCACTTTTTCTCTTCAAAATCATTTTCGTCTCTCAATCCCTTTCATAATTTTCTGTTGACCAATCAACATCCTCGATTCTTCAAGGGCCAACATTTTCCAATTCCCATAATTGTGTACAAAAATATGATACAAAGACTTTCTACTTTCTACTAATACTCTTAATGATTTGTTTCGTGGTAACCGAAAATAATCCTAGAAAAATTGCAGGTAGATTTGATAGTTCAATATAACATTTTACTTAAACTAATCTTAAATACCTATCCTAATTTGAAGAGGCCGAAATTTACCGGAAATCTAAAATTGAAAAAGTCTCTTTTCTTCACAAAACAATATAACTTCACAACACAATAAAATTAAATCGTACGTATATCTAAATATGACATAACTATAACATGATTTTACAAATTTTTGTGTCTTCTTTTTTTCTATTAATTTTTCTTTACGTACATTATCGGATCATATCAGTATATTATATTAATATATTAATAATATACATACATACATATGTAATATATAGGTATATATACAGGGTGTTTCAAAAAAAGGTAACCCCGTCTCTAGGGTAGGTAAAAAATTAAAAAATAATTGGGGTTTGTTTAGTAAAAAAATTTTGTAACTAATGCTTTTCTCAATGTTTTCAAAATTGTTTTAAGTACATTGTTAACATTCTATATTGTCTTTTAGCTTATTTCAGATGAGAAGAAAATAGACAAAAAAATTATTTTACTGCTACAATTTTTATATTACTATTTTTAATATTTAGCTGTTTTTAGTACTATACATAATTAAAAAATATAACCATTTACAGAAGGCTTCCGACAGCTGATTTAAGCAGCAGTGATGCAAGTGGTATTTCCCCTCCTTCTTCGGCCGATTCAGGAGATTCCAGTATAGACAGACTTATGGGACAACCTGTGTCAAGGCACAGCTTCAGTAAAAAATTACCACCACTTCCTCCTAGCCCACCTGTACGATCAAGAAAAGGCAGTTCAAGGTAAGCTTAGACCATACTACGGTTTTTATTATACTTGCAAAAGACACTTAATTAGTTAAATTTTAATAATTTACTTAAAGACTTTTCTATTAGACTTAAAAAATCGTAATTTAAACAAAAAATTCAAAAAAAGTTGTTCCCAGTAAAGCTAGTTATAATCAATAATGTTGATGTAAAATAGTGACGCTGATTATTTGAATTTAAAAAATAATTACAACCAAATTTAATTTACTTTAAAAAGACAGGAAAGACTGGAGAGGAATATGATAAAAACAGTGTTAAAGGGACTAAAAGAAGCAAATAATACAATATAACAGCATGAAAAGGTTAAATGAAAAATAATATAATATTTAAAGACTCAACTATAGAGATAAATCTGGAAGGGAAAGAAAATCTGGAAAAGTTTATAAAATTTCTTAATTGGAATATACGACGGATAGAATAAATGTTTTGAAGAGTAAAATAACAAAAAGTAAATTGTTCGTATCATATAATTAGAATCTGGGATGATAAAATTGAAGTGGAAATCCAGGCTAAAATTAGAAAAACAGCAAAGGATTAGAAATGAGGCTGGAAATGATATGCTGTAATTAGCAACAGCATTAGATGTGGTGATTGGTAATACATTCTTTCAACTTATCGCATACAATAGTGAACCAAATCAGTCTCTAGACTATTTTATGATTATAAAATAAGATACATGTGAATATAAGAAAAGTAAGATAATAGTTAGTGAGACTGTAAGTCAATAACAGAGAGGCACACAAAAAAATAAAATTTAAATAATAAAGAATGAGAAAGAAGATTTATTTAGGGTAAAATTTAAAGAAAAAAATTAGTAGAAAGCAGAATGAGTGAATGGATAAGTGTATTGACAAAAGTGGATAAAATTAAGAAGGATTATACAATAACTGATCTGATAATTCCTGGAAGGAGTAGGGAAGGAAGACCAAAGGAGACCTGAGGGAGATACTTAAGTAGGACATGTCGGTAACGAGAATTGATATAGGTATGACCCAAAATAGAAACTTATAGAGAAGTGTAGTTAGGGAAGTCAATCCCACATAGGAATAAAGGCGAAAATAATGATGATTATTGGGCGCAAAGGAAGAAAAATAAAAAAAGGCGACAAACATAGGATATATGAAGCTATATGTTAAAGAAAAAGACCTAAATGGAATAAAGAAGATGGTTAACTGACAGAAAGACCTTGAAACATCAGTTAGATAGTCCTTAAAACTAATGGGGAATCCACAGCTGATACTCAAGATTAAAACCAAAGCTATGGACTCGACAAATGAAAAGGACACTAAAATATTAACCAAAACAAGGAAAAAATAAAAAAACATTACATCTTAAATTAAGCAAAAACTCTTAGAAATGAAGAATGTGTTGGACGAAGGATAGAGCTGTTAGCTGTACTTTGATGGAAGGAGAGGTAGAGGAAAACCGAGAGGATGGAAGGACTGTGTGACAAACGACTTCAGAGACTTTAGTTAAAAAGGTTTAGGTGAAGAAGACCCGATAAACAGAAATAAGTGGCGACGAAAAGTAAGAAACAGCGACCCCTAAAAGTGAAAAGCTGAGGAAGAAAAAAAAATTACTTTGTTTTTTGCATATTAACAAGTAATATGACTACTTAAAATTGTGGAAGTTATTGAGATATTAAAGTGTGCCAAATTTTAACAGACAAAAACAGAACAATCATGTAGTTTATAAGTTATTTAATTTGTTTATCCCGCAGAGCAATTATTTAAACAACTGTACTTTCGAAGCAGTTACTCTAGATATATTTTGTAAATCGAAATCGATTCTTTGAGGCTTTATTTATAAGGAATATTAAACAAACTTTAACATTTTATTAAAAAATAGTTAATAGTAGCTGACTTTTTAGCTTCTAAACATGTTTAATAACTGATTTTTTTTATGTCACATGATTGTAGCAGGCTTAATGAAAATCTAAAGAAAAAGCACAATTTCCAAAAAAAAACCAAGCGATATTGCTGCGGGCAGTCCTCCTCTCTACTTTTCTGTAGCGGTTTGAGAGTATCCAAACTTATACACTATATGGTCGATTTAAGTATTTGAGATATAGCACACTTTAATAACTTATTAACTGGCACAATTTTGAGTAGTTATGTTATATGCCATTATGCAAAAAAGAAAGTAATTAACAATTATAAAATTACTGCAAAATTAATAGTTTTTTCTTGGTGTTTGGAATTGTTTATGTATTTTAATTTGAAAACTTGCAAATTGAGGAACTTTTTTAGGTTTGCAATTTTTATTTGAACCATTTTCCTCTAAACTGCATAAGAAACGTTTTATGGGCAAAAAATGATTTTATCATTTTTTAAGATTGTTTAAAAAAAACAAAGCTAAATCATCTTTACGTCTTCACGAATTTTTCATCAGCTTCTTCTAAATGTGCCTATCTTCTAGAGATGTTGGCGACCACATTAATCCCTCTTATTCTATTTACAGCAGCTCGAAATAGATCAGTTGACGTTAGACCAGTCCACTTCCTAAGATTGGCCAGCCAGAATATACGTCTACGCATGATGTGGCCGAAGTATGCCAATTTTCTGTTTTTTATGGTGTTAGTAATTTCTATGTATTTTCTTAGGCTCTGGAGAATAGATATGTTACTTGTGTGGTGTATACTCAACATACGTCGGTAGCATCACATTTCAAATGCCTCTAATCGTTTTATGGCATTTTCTGTAAGGCTCCAGATTTCTACTCCATAGAGGAGGACACTAAAGACGTAACATCTAAAAATTCTTATGCGTATATTGATACTTAAAAATAAGTTGCAGAAACTCTTCCTAAGACTGTTGAAAAAGCTCGTGGCTTTTTCAATACGAGTTTTTATTTCTTAGCTGTGATCCCAAGTATCCTTAATATTGCAGCCCAAATAGTATATTTTTTCCACTCTTTCTAACGGTGTATCGCCTATTGTAATTTGGGCGTTTATGTTGGTGTTCTTACTAATGATCATTATTTTTGTCTTCTTGCAATTTAGTTTTAGGCCGTATTTGTTACATGCTTCTACAACGTTATCATCATCCTTTGGAGCCCCAGCGCACTATCTGCCAGCAACACTGTATCGTCTGCATATCTAATGTTGTGTATAAATTGGCCATCTACAGCAATCCCATCTTCTGATTCGTCCAAGGTCTCTCTAAAGATGTTTTCAGAGTATATGTTAAATAATGCCGGTGACAATATGCAACCCTGTCTAACTCCTTTTTCGACTGTGAAGATCTCGGACAGTTCATGTTTTAATCGTACTGTTGCTTTTTGTTAGAGATATAAGTTTGAGATCAGTCTTATATCCTTACCATCGAGTCCTGATGTTTTTAGGTATCGATTAGTTTCCCATGTGGGACTTTATCAAATGACTTCTCGAAATTAATGAAACATGCATAACACATCGCAGTTGACATCTCTGGCTCTCTGTATTGGAACTTGCAAACTAAAGAGTGCTTCCTCGTTCCGAGTCTTGCTCTGAATCCAAATTGAACTTCACTCAGGTGTTCTTCAATTTGGTGAATGATAGTAAGGAGTACTTTAAGTACATGGCTCATCAAACTAATTAACCTATGTTCGTCACATTTTCTAGCGTTTGGTTTTTTAGGAAGTGGAATGAATATTGATAGTAACCAATCTTTTGGTAAGTAACCAGTCTTGTAGATGTTGTTGAATAGTTTCGTAAGAGCTGTGATTTGGTGTACCTCTAATAGCTTTAGAACTTCACCATGCACCTCGTCAGTTTCTGGTGATTTCCCATCTTTAATCCGCTTAATGGCCATAGTTACTTTTTCGTTTATTATTACTGGGCCGTAGGGATTGTTTATTTCAATCGGAATTCGTGCTGCATCTTCGAATAATTCTTACATATATTCTTTCCATCTTCGTAATTTATCTTTAATAGTAGTCAAAATCTGGACTTCAATGTCTACAACTATGCCTGTGTTGTGTTGTTTTTTTTTGGTATCCAGTACCTCTTTAATTTTTTTATGCGTATGTAAATCGTCATGTTTGCATTGTAGTATTTCAACTTCTGTACATTTCTCCGTCAGCCATGCTTCTTTTGTTCCTTTTATCTCCTTTAGTATAGTCTTATGCAACTTTTTGTATTCGTTGTCATTTCTACCTTTTAATTTTATTCGCTCTCCTACCATCTGCAATATTTTATCTGTCATCCATTCTTGCTTCTTTTCTATTTTTGATTTTAGATATTCATGCGCAATTGTGGTAATAGATGTCTTCATTTCGTTCCACTGTTCTTCTATGCCTCTAGTAGTGTCTTCAACTATTTTGACAACAATTCTAATTAATTTCTTTTTTACCTTTTTCTTGGTGTCATTTTCTTTTAGTAGTTTTATATCTATCTTGGGCCTCATTTTCTTATAAATTATTTTGAGTCGTATGTTGATATTTGAAACCAATAGACTATGATCTGAAAAGACATCTGCGCTTGGATATGTTTTTGTTGAGGTGATAGAATTTCTAAACCTTTTATTTATGTTGAAAAAATCAATTTGATTTCTTATGATTTTTCCTGTAGTATCACCGGGTGCTTTCCATGTACATATAAAGTCTTCTTGGATGTAATTTAAAAAATGTATTCGTTACAACCATATCCGTCTCTTGGCAGAATTGGATTAGTATTTCTCCTCTTTCGTTTCTGATGCCAAGACCATATGACCCCCGAAAGCTGATGATAACTGATTTCATCATATACCTTTTAGAACCTTTGAATATTTATATAAGATTTTTAAGTGAAATCAATGATTTTTTCTAGATAGACGTGTATACGGTATCAAAAATATTGAGCTGTATCAGGAATATTACTTTACTTGCTTTTAAGCTTTGTCGTACTTCTTCTTCGAAATCTCCTTAACTAGTTATATGTATTCCCAAATATCTAAATCTTGCCTTCTGCTTTATTATTTTCCCATCAATTTCGATTTTACATCGTGGGTATTTTAATGTGGTCATACATTTGGTTTTTTTCTGCTGATATAATCATATTGTATTTCTTGGCTGTTGTATTGAATATGTGTGTTAATCTTTGGAGCTCGTCTTCTCTCTCAGCGATTAATGCGGCGTCGTCTGCATAACATAATATTTGGATTTCAGTGTTCTCCATTCTGTAACCATGACCTCTACGTACTGCTTGTATTATTTCGTCCATTATTATATTAAAGAAAAGTGGGCCTAACGAGTCACCCTGTCTGACTCCGCTTTGAACTATTATACACTGTGTGAACATTGCGAACGCTACCGCTTTTTCTATGGTCTTATGGAGATTTTCACTAACGCCCTGCTGTTCGATATTCTCTACGAGATTCTTGAGAGTGACTCCAGTAGTAGAGAGGATCATTTCTGAGCAGAGGATCAGAATTTACCGAAGGAGAAACAACTTTTAACTAAACCAGATATATAAGGACCCGGATATCGTAACATTTATTAAAATAAGACAGCTGCGTTAGATGGGATATCTGAAAATAATGAAAAATGGCGAAATACCAAACAAAATAAGCAAACAAGTACCAGTAGGAAAAAGAGCAAGAGGGAGACCTAAGATGAGATACACAGAACAAATAGAAAATGATATAACAACCTTAATTATAGTAAAAATGGAGAAAAAAGCACGAAATAACTTAGAATGGAGCTGTTTCGTCCTGGAACAGACCAAGCAACAAGGGTTATCGAGCCAGTGATAACGATAATAAGCAGATGTCTGTCCAATATACATGTTGCCTTGTGCTTAACAGCTCTGTCGTACTTGGCGTTGTATTTACGATGCAGATCATTATTGACAGGTATCGATACATAAAGACACTATCTGATTATATGATGATGTTACGGAAAAAGCATAATACTAGTCAGATATCATTAAAATTTTTTAGTTATTTTACGACCTTCAGAATTTAAAAAACTTAAGTTTCATTGCAAAGCAGAAGGAACAACAAATTGTTACATCTAAAATATTTTGCTATAAGCTTAGATTATATCCCAACAACAGTATTATAATGATGAAATGTTTTGTTTTACAGTTCTATGCGAAGAAGTCTCAGTGAAATGCATCTCAGCGGTTCCGAAGACGGAGCAACGTAATACTGACTTGCGTTTTGTTGTAAAAACTGTTTAAAAAAGTGTATGATATATATTAAAATAAATAAAACATGTGTGATCTAACGTCTTAATTTATTTCATAAAAATCAAGGCTTTATTCAAAAGTTAGGAACATATATTGATAATGTGAGACAAAATATTGAATTAATAACAATTTCTGAATATTTAATATAATGTCGAAACCTTTATGCGAAATGTCGTATTATATACCTACATCGAAATGAAAAACTGTTCAGAAGACACAAAAACTTTCTGAAGCTTTCTAGAAATTGAAATTTTGTTATGTTTTTGTTGAATAATTTTAACATCATTTCTTTATTTTGTAACAATTATTATAAACTCAAATTAACGTTGGAGCCAATTGTTTCGGCTTCGACTAGTGCTAGTCTTCTCAAGTATACCCAAGTTCGTCTTAGTATACCAAACTAATCAGAATACTAACTAATCATAATTATTGTAAGTACCTTAAAAAATATATAAAATTAAATTTGTAACACGATTTGGTGTGACAGGATGCTGTCAATAGACTACCTAAGCTCTGACGTCACAATAGGCAAGGGTTTTAAAAACTTTTCCAAACATTTCTAATTTGTGAGTATTGGTTCCATAAGAAGTTGGAAATATTGATTTTTTAATTGTTTGAAGAATAAATCGGGACTTTTTTATGAACATTCATTCTGTGCGATTTTTATTATTTGTTGTTATGCATTTGTGAGGTAAGAATATCAAAGAATTAATATATTTTAATAAATATTTTTAATTATTATAAGTTTTAGAACTAACTGAACCTATTGAAGCTGGCAATAGAATAAGACAAGGAGATTCCCAAAATCATCTAATATTCAACCTGATTTTGGATGAAATAATAAAAAAAAATAAGAACTAAAAAAGAGAGAGGATACCAAATGGGAGAGAACCAGCTTAAAATAATCAGACGACGCAAAACTACTTTCTCAGAGTAAAGATTATTTACAACGTATGCTGCACTAATTTAATATAACTGCCAGAAAATTTAACATGTTAATTTCCCAAAAAAAGACAAAATGCGTGGTTATAACAGCAAATTTTCTAAGATGTAAATTGGAGCTGGAAGGCCAGATAATAGAACAAGTGATGAAGTTTAAATATGTAGGCATTACATTCATTAGCAGAGATGAAAACACTTGGAAAAATTGATGGTAAGACACTATGGGACAGAGATACAAGTACTTATATACGACGTAGATACAGGGAAGAACATTACGAACTGAGTAAGAAATAGAAGAGTAGAATGGAACGAATATATAAGCCGAATGACAACAAATAATAGAGTAGTAAACACAGCAAGAGTTGGTTCCCCAATAGGAAGACGATCAGTAGGAAGGCTACGTAAACGGTGGAATGATAATGCACTGGAGGTACATTTAAAACCAGATAGAGTCATGTCTACATAAACAAAGATAAAAAAGTATCTGAAAATATGTTGGTACAAATCAGAGATCTGAGTAGAACTCCTACATATATGTCAACAGGAAATTTCGTTAAATGTACTGCTCGCTGTTATGATACTGTTAACGCTGATGTTGAAGCTTGTCTTGACAATGTAATCACTTTTAAGGACTATTTCCAAATAAGTGATGGGAACGCTCTTCGTGGTTTATCCATGCTGCTTAATGGTCTTTTTCCTACATGGTGGCAAGGAATTAAAAATACAATTCTCATATGGGAAGATGCCCAAAATGCCTATTCGAAAAAACTTTCGCCTCATTTAATATTTCGGGAAGTATTCTCGCATGAACAAAATTCTAGTGAACCTACTGAGTTATTTGTTTCTCATATTCGAGCTTTGCTTGCACAATTACCTTATTCCCTAACTGAAGAGGTTCGATTGGATATAATTTATGGCTTAAAGGTACGTAAACTACAAAAAAGGCTACAAATAAATAAATTTCAAATCATGAATTAAATAATAAATAATCCTAAATAAATTTCAAAATTTTAAGGAACTTGTAATAGAATATCGAGAAAATGAATCATCCTCGAACGTATTTATGAAGTTCGAATCGTTCTATAATGCCCCTTTGTCCTCTTCTCTCGATCGACGATGACTAATATGTACAATAAAACGTTGAAGTTGTAGAGTAAAAATTCTGATTTTATTTAGCTATTACACTGTATGATGTTGGTTAGGTAACTACTTATAATAAACTGCGCTCACATGAGCTCAAATCCCCAATTTATAATATCACAAATAATGTATACCTCAGCACAGACGTTATTGCTTTTATCATACTAACAAACTTTGAACTATGAGCTTACAATACAATTTAATCTAGGCCGTAATTGCAGGAAGTTCAATTGGAAAATATATTATTCGACAATTTATTAACAGGTGAATGTACTTTAATTATTAAAATATACTCGATATAGTTTTACAATGGCTCAATTATACACGGTGAAACTATAAAAGATTAATAAGGTAATATTAAGATTAATATTAAGATTAATAAATTAATATAATATTAATAAAAGAAGCAGACGACCAATAGAAAATATCTAAACACATATAAAATATAAAATAATAATAATATAAAAATAATCATAACACTAATTCACTCGGTTTTTGAATTAATATTTCACCCGAGCAGTGCTACCTATAACTTGAATATTTAGAATTTATGATTCAGCTAGACTATCTAATTCAAATCTAAGCTCATTAAGTGAAACTGATCTAGGAGGGGCTTTCTTTAACGTTTTACTTAAATTTGGTTGTGATATGTATGTCTTCGAGGCGCTGGATGAGGTTGGATGCAAGAACCTTGATGCCTTTGTTTTCTGGCTCTCTTCGAGTTTCGAAAATATCTGACTACCTTCCATATAATGACAATCAACATAACAATGAATATAGTGACTAGTCCCGTGGTTAAATGAGGAATCCACTGTTGGTTAGCAATGGTTTTCCACATGTGTTCGGATATATCTTGGTCAAACTGCTCTGCCTCAAGTACAATATTTGGCAACTCATCTTCCCGAATATCTATATTATGTCTGGGAATGTTGTTCTGCTTTATGATTGGCCTCTGCATAAGCTCTTCAATGGGACTGACGGGAGTCTTTAAATAACTTCCAATTGCTGTTTCCAATCCATTACTGGATGTGAGTAATGTTATGTTTCGAGTCTGAACAACGCATTTTACCTCAACACAGAGGTTATTGCTTCTATCATACTAACAAACTTTGAACTATGAGCTTACAATACAATTTAATCTAGGCCGTAATTGCAACACTTAAGGGATTAAGTGATTAATTTGTGAATGAACATCCTTAAAAGAAGGTTTAGTAACTAACGACTGTGATAGTCGACCAAATTAAGAAAAGGACTCTTGAAAAAGAAAATTCAGACCAAAGTATTTTGTGACGTTTGGCCATTTCTAGTATGCAAACGTTTACTATACTACTTACTATAGTAGACTAAACAATCGATGATTTCAAATTCTAATGGTTCAGTTAGCATATATGTACCTCCTAGTTGTTTACATACGAATTTTAGCACTGCAAATGTACCTTCTCAACGTTCTTCTACTGTATTTTGTTATGGGTGCAATATGTTACGGTTATGTTTGCACAATTTGTCCTAACTGTAAAATTTCTGTAAATCCTATACCACAGAAGCAGCCTCTTGTGTAGAGCTTCTTTTAAGAGAAACTAACAATTTGAATAATCGTCCCCTTTTACCAAAAGTGTCTTAGGTTTGAGTGGTATGTTGATACTGGAGCTAAATATACTATAGCTGAAATTAGCTTTACAAATATTTTTTAAACAATGGTCTACACTAGGTTTAAGAAAACAAGTTTAATGTTTCGCTGACGGTGTAAGCAGCACGGTATAAGCTAGTATTTGTGAATGTTTGGTTCGCCTTTTACATAGATCCGTGCCTACAACTTTTATTGAATTTTCTGAGTACGCATCGGTTAAAACTTTTCTTGGGATAGACTTTTTAAAAAATACTGACATTAGGGTAAACTGTGCAAATACCGGTCAGTGGGTAATGGCGGTCATCCCGATTGTGCGAAATCTATTCAATCTGGCAACCTCCTATAACTGCCAACGTGTCGCTACACTACTCTGTATTCAGATTGCTGACGAGCGTTGAGTTGGCGCAAACCATTGTCATAGAAATATTATTAACCTGTTTTCAGTGTTTTCGATCTTATTTTTATGCTGAGTAATATAAGGTCTTAATTCATTTTTATTCACTTGTAGATCTTAAAATTGGTTACAATTGATTATAATGACGTTAGCTGCCTATTCCTTTTTTAAAGATCAATATTTTAATACATGTTTACGAGTAAAAAATTCTAAGAAAAAAAATGCCAACAGGAGGCAATGCCGGTCAGTTGACCGGTATTACCCCCATGCTATAATTTATACCCTATACTATTAATCCTTAGGGATTAATCCATCCATTTTTCGACATTGCAAGAAAGAATAAAAAATAAAAATCTTCAAGGTGTCTCATTAGGTAGAAAATCAGTATTTTCTGCCGAACAAGAAGCTAAAATAGCCACACAAAAAAAATATTTAGCTTATTTTTTTATGGCGTAACAGCAATAGAACTGAGAAAATTAGCATTTGGGTTTACAAGATAAGTTTTCTTGTAATAAAACACCTTTTTCTTGTAATTGGCATTACAAGAAAAAGGTGTTTGATTCTAGTTCTTTAGAATCGGATATTGATATATCATGTGATAAAAGTGACGATGCATACGAAGATAGATGCCTGGTTTACAGCGAGTTTGGCAAAAACAATGAATTGTGGTATATATTTACCGTTTGCTCACGATGGGCTTATTCAGAGTGCAGTGGATGGGATTCTGCAGAGAGTTATACCTGCGATGACTGTCAACTATTTTTACATTAAAACACATATTTTTGTTATTTTTTGTTTGTTTTGTAATAAAAAATATTTTTTCACCTTTCTTACTGATTTACTTGAATTATGACCCATTAAGCCACATTCGTTAATCGTTTTATAACAAAAAAATGTTAAATAGATATTGATTTTTATTTTAATAATAACACA